GTATGTATATATATGTATATATATATGTGTATGTATATATATGTATAGCAATCCTAAGGCACGAAGGATACATCAGATGTGTCCTCCAAATCTGGGACCAGAAGGCTGCATTCGTCGGCTGCATTTGAAGGAGTCTTCAACAAAAATGTGAAATGGGACAGCCTAGTCGCAGCGCTGTGACGCAACCGATCTACGAATGCAGCCTCCGAAGGATGCAGCCCCTGAATTGAGACACAGGTTATAAAGCAGTGGGCTGGTCTCTCTACCTGTACTGTGTGTGTGTCCAGGTGTGCAGCAGCTGGTGGAGGAGAAGAGAGAGAGACTGTTGCTCATCCACTCCTCAGTGAGCCGGGCCAGAGCCAACATGGCCGTCGTGACACGCATCACACAGGTCAGAGTTGATCTGTGAGCACCGTTAGCCGTTAGCAACCGGTGCTAAGGTTCTTCTCCTGCAGGAGTGGGCGGAGCTTCACCTGCTGCAGTGCTCAGGTGACTCACTGCTGGAGGTCAGTGACACAGAGCAGACCTACAGACGCATCAGAGCGGAGGGAGAGGAGGTGCTCAGGTTAACTCAGGTAGGGAGGAGGAGGGAGAGGAGGTGCTCAGGTTAACTCAGGTAGGGAGGAGGAGGAGGAGAGACAGGAGGGAGAGGAGGTGCTCAGGTTAACTCAGGTAGGGAGCAGGGAGAGGAGGTGCTCAGGTTAACTCAGGTAGGGAGGAGGAGAGGGAGAGGAGGTGCTCAGGTTAACTCAGGTAGGGAGAGGGAGAGGAGGTGCTCAGGTTCTCTCAGGTAGGGAGGAGAGGGAGAGGAGGTGCTCAGGTTAACTCAGGTAGGGAGGAGGAGAGGGAGAGGAGGTGCTCAGGTTAACTCAGGGAGGAGGAGGAGAGGGAGAGGAGGTGCTCAGGTTAAGTCAGGTAGGGAGGAGGTGCTGATATGACTCTTCTGTGTCCTCAGGTGAACAGGAGTCTGTACGGAGCTGAAGTCTCCTCTGAGTCCTGGATCAAGTACCTGGACCACATCGATGACCAAGTCCAGGATGGACTGTTCCAGCTGGTGCTCAGATCACTGACCTTCTTATTGGACAACATGAACCCACAGGTACACACACCTGGAATCTGAGGAATTCAAAGTATGGAGGCTTCTCTATCATCAATATGTTGTTGGATTTAAAGTGTCTGTGTGCAGAGCTGCAGTGTGTTTCTGACGGTCAGTCTGCAGCTGCAGGAAACAGGAATTGTGTTTGAGCCGTCAGTGGGCGTCGGCCTCTCTGACCTCCTGCAGAGCATCTACTCAGCAGCCAGTCTGCCTCTCAGGGTCTCTGAGAGACGCCACAGCAACTACCAGGTGAGTCTGACATCACTCACTCTTTGCAGGCTGCTGTTTCTGAAAAATAATCTGTCTGTCTGTCTGTCAGGTGTCCCTGCAGCAGAGTCCGGATCTCTCTGCCTTGGAACAGGAAGTAATGCATCGCCTTCTGCAGGTGAAGGAGGAGGCAGAGCGTCTGTCGGCGGGGCTGGACAGGTATGCGTACCTGTGGCAGAGCGACAGGAGGGAGGTGATGCAGGAGTTCCTGATTTACAGCAGACAGCTGGGAGACGAGGAGGTGGAGGTGGAGGAAGCCCCGCCCACCCTGAAGGACTTCCAGAGAGAGGTGAGACACACCTGTCCAGGTGTTTTAATCCAGAGAGAGGCGAGACTCACCTGTCCTGTTGTTTTATTGCAGAGATGTGTTTCTGTTTCAGATCGAGTCTCTCCACAGACTGAGCAGAGAGGTGACTCACCTGGATGACATCATCGTTCTGCACAGCTGGCTGCAGGTGGACCTCAGAACCTTCAAAGACTCCCTGCTGTCAATCGTACAGGAGTGGAAACACCTGTACATGGAGTACCTGCTGGACTCAGTCAGGGACAGGTGAGCCCACCTGAGAGCTGCTGAGTGTGATTCTTAAGTTTTAAAAGGTGCAACACAGAAGTTCTTAAGTGTGTGTGTGTGTGTGTGTGTGTGTGTGTGTGTGTGTGTGTGTGTGTGCAGTCTGCAGCAGGTGACTCACCATCGTGGCGATGATGAAGAGTCTTCATCCAGCTTCCCTCTGACAGAAACCATCTTCCTGCTAGAAGCTGCAGGAGTGGAGCTACCTGAACACCTGTCAGCTCAGCTAGGTAGTGACATCACTGTAGCTCCGCCCACACCTGCCCCGACACAGGAAGTCACATGACACCGTCTAAAGACTGTGTGACGGCTTTATTCTTTTCATTGCATCTCTGTAGTTTATTTACCTGTTCACACACCTGTCTGCGTCACGATGTAGTTACTCCGTGTTCTGTAAATCACACACAGTCAATCAGCTCATTGCGTTAACCTCAACACCTGTTAATGGCGCCGCACCGTGAACCGCCACATCTTGAACCATTCGGCACGAATACACAAACCGTTACAGCAGCAATGTTTGTCTAAATATCAGGAATTATTGTTGCATACATGTCATTATGGTCCTAGTTTTTAGTTTTGATTCAGTTGGCGTTATTTGTTTGTCATTGTGGATCAACATCCATCATGAAGATCATATTGTTTCTCTGTGTTGCAGAGTTGATCACCTGAAGAGGAAACGGCTGACTCAGAAGACTCCTGGAACATTAAATGTATTATTTCACTGGTTCCTGTGATGATTAAAAGTTTATTTGATTCTGATCCTCTGAGTTTTGTCGTGAACATGAACTAAGTGTGTTTTGTAGTGAGTACAGTCTCAGTCCAGATGTTCAACCTCTGTCTTGGAACTTTGTGGGTTAGTCTGAGAGAGTGAACATCTGGACTGAGCCGATGTCTCAGGTCTATGCTCCGAACTTTAAAGAGTAAATGGACTTTAATAATTCTTCAGTTAGATTCCAGAGACACAAAGAACCACAACAAGATAAATAAATGATTTAATAGAATTTCTTTCTTTCTTCAAAAGCTGTAATTGACACAAAAGACTTTCCATCCAGCAGGCAGACGGGTCCGGTCTACAGTCTGGTAGTGGTCTGACACCTTCAGCACCAGAAGGAACCAGACAAACCAGAAAGTAAAAGAGGCACGATGATGAGAAACCTAGAGAGAAACGTGATCTAAAAAACAAACTAATTAAAGTCCTCATAACACTCGCTGTCTCCATGGCAACAGAAAAAACAAATTAACTATCAGCGTCTGTTTGAAGTCTCGGCTGGCTCTGAGGTCAGAGGTCCACCCCGGCTGCTGCCATCACCATACAGGCAGAGGCAGCAGCCAATCAGAGAGCAGCTAGCGGCGGTAGACTCCGAAGGCCACCAGGCTGAGGAAGATGGTGACGCCGACCAGCGAGGCGGTGGCCGGGGCGGTGAAGAACTGCCTGTACTGGATCTGACAATACCAGAGCACCGACAGCATGAGGACCAGCAGGGGGACCATCAGGCTGCCCACATTCAGAGCCACCTGCACCTGGTCCACGGGCCGAGGCCCCCCCGCAGCCCCCCGGCCAGCGTGCGGTGAGATGTGACAGTGCAGGACACAGTTATGAACCAAGTTCAGGGAGGCCAGAGTCTGAGCGTCGTCCTGCAGCAGCTGACCCTGATAGATCAACCGCACCTGCTGCTCCTGACCCGCAAAGTAGGTCCTGAAAGGGTAGAGATCAACAGGTTAAAACCAGCACTAACACTCCCCTAAAGTAGTGGTGTAGTAGAGGTACAGTAGTGATGTAGTAGTGGTACAGTAGTAGTGGTACAGTAGTGATGTAGTAGTGGTACAGTAGTAGTGGTACAGTAGTGATGTAGTAGTGGTACAGTAGTGATGTAGTAGAGGTGCAGTAGTGATGAAGTATTTTGTTACCGTTTGATGTATCCGATGGTGTCCTGTGGTTTGACCTGAGCTGTTCTCTCTGTGTCGTTCAGAAATTTCAGTCTGACCACCATGTTCCTCTGAGAGGATGAAGAGTCTTCTCCTCCTCCTCCTCCTCCTTCTCTGTTCCTGATACCATCTCCTCCTCCCTCCTCCCGCCTCCCTGCCCCCTTCTCCTCCTGGGTGGAGGTGTTGGTGGGCAGAGCTTCTGTCAGAGAGCTGTCACTCACAGAGCTGGAGGGTGAGGAGGATGAAGAGGGGGGGGCTGTCCTGGTGGACGGGGCTGGTCCCAAGTGAGGGGACGGGGCCTATGGTGGAGGTGAACAGGTGTTCTGGGGGCTCAGAGGTGCGGGTGGAGATCCAGGCGAGCAGCAACACCAGGAGGACCAGCAGAGAGCAGAACAGCAAGGTCACCTCGTCTCCTACTCCTTCAATCAGAGCCATCGCCCCCCAGCAATGCCCGCTGAGGTCAACACAGGTCACACACCTGCACAAAGGGGGCGGGGCTTATCAACAACAATACACTGAAGGTTTTACTGTAGAGTACACTACATGGCGTACAGTTAGTGTGCACTACACGCCAGACAGTTAGTGTGCACTACGCGCCGTACAGTTAGTGTGCACTACGCTAATATTGATTATCTAATAGTACATAATAATGTAACTTCAGAGTGAGTATTCTACGTTAAGTACATTCTGCTGGTTGTACATACATACCTATACTTCAGTAACTTTTTGAATGCAGTATTTTTAACAGTACTTGTACCAGAGTATTTGTAGTGTGGTATTAGTACTTCGACTGCAGTACAGGATGTGAGTACTTCTACTACCACTGCTTGTTGTACTAATATAACGGACTCAGGTGTGAGTTACCTGCAGGTCACGTGATCAACTGGTTATTATTGATTCAGATCAATGCTACAAGTCTGAGCTAACCGCTAACAGCCGGACAGGAAGTGGGCTATGCTACATGCTATGCTACATGCCAACAGCTCTCAGCGTCAGTTATGAGCTAATTAAAGAAGCTACGGATGAATAAGATGAAACACATACTTACTGTTAAGTTTATAAACCTCACATCACAGAGAGTTAGCCTGCAGGCTAATCAGGCTCATTCGGTCCGTCCACACATTTCTTCTGCCGCGTCTTCTTCTGTGGTTTTCACGCAGCGATGACGCGCTGCTGCAGCCTGCTGGTCATCAGAGTAACTGAACCTCAGAAATAGATGGATGGATGGATGGATGGATGGATGATATATAGATAGATAAGCTTCATTTTTGTGAACAGAGAGCTGATGAGCCAAAAAGCTCCAGCTTTTTGGCTCATCAGCTCTCTGTTCACAGACACAAAAATGAAGCATAGAAAGAAAGAACACTGTACCTACTGTGAAACATGGAGGAGGCTCGGTTATGTTCTGGGGCTGCTTTGCTGCATCTGGCACAGAGTGCCTTGAATCAGTGCAGGGTACAATGAAACCTCAAGACCATCAAGGCATTCTGGAGCGAAATGTGCTGCCCAGTGTCGGAGAGCTTGGTCTCAGTCGCAGGTCACGGGTCCTCCAACAGGATAATGACCCAAAACACAGCTCAAAATACCCAAGAATGGCTAAGAGCACAACATTGGACTACTGTGAAGTGGACTTCTATGAACCCTGATCTAAATCCTATTGAACATCTGTGGAAGGAGCTGAAACATGCAGTCTGGAGAAGGCACCCTTCAAACCTGAGACAGCTGGAGCAGTTTGCTCACGATGAGTGGGCCAATATACTGTACCTGTTGACAGGTGCAGATGTCTCAATGAGTTACAGAAATCACTTGATTGCAGTGATTGCCTCAAAAGGTTGTGCAACAAAATATTAAGTTAAGGGTACCATCATTTTTGTCCAGGCCATTTTTATTTATTATTTTTTTTTAATGATTCTGTTGAACCACAATTCAAAAGCAATGTCTGATTTTCATTAGTTAATTTTCAGTACATTTTTATTTATTATTACTTTTGTCAGTTTCAAGTTATTTCAGTGACCATTGTGGGTTTTTCTTTCTTTAACGGAAGGGTACCAACAATTTAGTCCACGTGTGTATATGGCACTAAATAGCGCAAGTTAGATATTATTGTAATGTTCCGGACCTTTGCACAAGGAGATTTTCTCAATCTGGACCTTTTGGAATTTTAATTGAATACCCCTGGTGTAGAAAATGTGAACACGATGGTAGAGAACGGGATCGAGGTGAACGATAACTTACTACCCGTAAACGTCACTGTGTCCAACGTTCCACCGTTTATTAGAGACGAGGCAATAACCAGAGAGCTGTCCAAACACGTGAAGGTAGTGTCTCCAGTTAAGAGAGTGTCCTCTGGGTGTAAATCTCCGCTGTTAAAGCACGTGGTGTCTCACATGAGACAGCTCTTCGTGATCCCGAACAACAGGAGCAGGGAGGTAAACCTCGTGTTCAAACTCACAGTAGAGGACTTTGACTATGTGATTTTTGCAAAGACTGATGACTTTAAATGTTTCAGTTGTGGAAAAGAAGGACATCAGAGTAGAGCTTGTCCTGAGAAAAACGGTTCAAATAAAGACCAGAACCAGAACCAGAAAGGTACTGAGGAGGGCAGAGGGGACAAGCAGGACGGACAGGAGGGGACAGGTGGGGTCCAAAAGGGGAGGGAGGAGGGGACAAGTGGGGCCCAGAAGGTGAGGGTGGAGGGGACAAGTGGGGCCCAGGAGGTGAGGACAAGTGGGGCCCAGGAGGTGAGGGAGGAGGGGACAAGTGGGGTCCAGAAGGTGAGGGAGGAGGGGACAAGTGGGGCCCAGGAGGTGAGGGAGAGTACTGGAGGACAGGTGGAGACAGGTAGTGAGGTGGACATGGAGGGAGACGAGGAGCAGCTCAAAGCCCCTCAGCTGAAGAGGAAAAAGGAAGGAAACAGTGGAGACTCACAGGCAAAGAAAGTGGCAACGAAAGGAAGTAGAGGAGCAGCTGAGTGTGAGTCCAGTCTGGAAGAGGACTCTGAGTCCAGTCAGGAGGAGGACTCTGCTGCTGACAGTGAGCTCTCTGAATACAGGGATGGCAGCTGTAGGAGCTCTGAAGGCTACAGTGTGGAGGAGAGAAAGAGTTATCTGCTGAGGAGTAAAAATGTAAAATGAGCTAAAGTGGAGGACTACTTCTCTGACAAAGAGAAGCTCTCCAACTGTCAGAGCACATATGAGCAGCAAAGACAGAGGAGGTCTCACAAAGCAGGAAGGCTTCAGGCTGAAGAAAATAGTTCAGAAAATAAAGAAAGAGCTGAACAATGATTGAGTTAACTGAGAATAAGTTCTCACAGTCTAAGTGCAAGTCAAAGACAAGTTTCTGTTTGTTGGTTTTTATTTATTTAACCGTTTTAAATGTAAAGAGACCGGAGCCCACATGCTCACACTGGCTGCTTCAGGAACCGCTGGTGAACGGAGCCAAGATGGACATCCAGGACGGCACGACTCCAGGTCTGAGCAACATGCTGTGCTCCACTGGGACCACTGCCCTGAGGGCGATGGTGGAGGTATAGCTGTTCCTGGACTGAGACGCACTTGCAGTGGCTTCTCGGGATGATGATGATCCCGAGTAGGTGGGCGGAGAGTCTGACGGAGGACGAGGTTGAGATCCTGAAGGAGGACGACAGAGGAGAGGAAGCTCCTGACTCTACAGATCTATTTCCAGATCTAGGATTTATTCCAGAGCTGAATGGGGTCTCAGGACCATCATTCAGTGAAACAGAGTCTAAACTCTTGGACCTCCACACAGGGAACGGGTGTGAGAGCCGACACTGTGAGCAGACAGAACCTGAACATGAACAACAGTATGAACAACATGCAGGATTCATTGAGAAATGGTGCAACAATGAAGCACAATGTTGTGTGTCTGGAGATGAGCTAACATACAACGCTCCTTGAAAACATAGTGAAGAGAAACTGTTTTGATTGTTTTGTTTCTAATTGATTGCCATGGGAACTTTTTGTTGTTCTTTCATGTTTTAAGAATATAAAGGTTTCTAAAAATCTCTCTCTCTCTCACACACACACACACACACACACTCTTACTCCCTCACCTGGGTCCCAGAGGAGGACAGGTGTATCAAACAGCTGGATGTATTGATTGATCAGTGATTAACTTCACAGCTCACAGTGTGGAGGAGAGAGAGAGGACCAGTGACTCGGTGAGGTCAGACCGGTGACTGGGTCAGATCAGACCGGTACTCCGTGTGTTGTCAGCGGGCAGGATGTCATGTGGATGCGGGCTGCTGGTCCCCCTATGCCGGCTCCGAGCCGCTGATGATGAACACCTCCACAGGCCGGGTGAGGAGACCTGACAGCCGGCCGCCCTGATGCCTCTCCGCGGTATCTCTGGTTCCTCCTCTCGGAGCCGTGAGACAGCCTCCAGCCGCCGGTCCTCTGTCTCACCGCCGGTCTCCAGCATCTGGACCCGGACCAGGTGACAGTCTGGCGGGTAGGTTTCCGTAGAAAGACGCTGTCGCAGTTATTTTTTAACATAGTAACTGAATGTTTGCATACATAGAATGAAATAATAACTATATATGTGAGGTATCTCTGGTTTCATCCTCCGCCTTTGTCTCCTCATGTTTTCTCCCGGAGGTCCTCCCCCTGCGGCGCGGGGCGGAGTTTCATACCGGACTAGACGCTCCTTTTGTCGGATTCGTTTCGAGCGGACTCCCCGGGGTTTACGGCCGAAAAACACACACTTCGAGAGCCCCGAAATAACCCGCGGTAGCCCAGCGGTGCGCGGTGTTTACCCGGGTCTCTGTCTCTACCTAAAGGTGAGTCGTCGGTGGTGATTTTAGACAGATTTAAGGTGTTTTCTGCTCCCTTGTCCCCGAGTCAGCAGAACGTTCATGGCGGCTCGTCAGTGAAGGTTTGTGGGGCAGCAGCTGCTTCTCCTTCGGTCCAGAACCACACGAACGTTTCCACGTTTTAATCCCACAATCTAACACCCGGACACGCGGATGTCGAAGGATTAAATCATTTAAAGCAGATTTTATTTTTTTATAAATGATTTTTTTGCTGCACGTGTCAAATGTTTAGTTAAACAAAATAAGCGTTTCGATGAATTCTGTTTTTATTTTATTTTCTTCGTTTTAAAATCATCGCAGTTTTTCCACATTTTTTCCTAAAATGGTTACACGCCAGCTCGTCTAGAGGAGCTGTTTGCGTGCCAGCGGAAGCTGCGTGGAGACTCCTGCCGGAGGACGGACGCCATTACCGGGCAACTGGAGCCTGACGGCCCGCTGGGTTCACTCCACGTCTCAGCTCCACAAAACGTCTCGAAAACACGGAACTAAACCCGGAGATGGACGTTTATTTGATGCAGCATCATGTCAGATTGTCACTAAGGGTTTTTGTGTGATTTCGGCCCGTAAACGGTTCATTTTTAACAAACTTGAGCGGAGTCGAACACCGGCTCTCTACCGCCCTCCGTGCTTTATTTTGGGTGAAGCACATTTAGAAACAGGCCGTTTTTAAACTGATTTTACAGTAACGGAAGAGCTGCATTGTGTATTTCATTCCAGCCGAATCGGTGAGTTGCTCGTGACAGTCGGGGAACATGTTTATATTGAAGCGCTTTTTGATTTAAATTGACAGATTTTTAAATGGAGTTTAACTCAAGCTGCCCTCTGACTGACCAGTCGCATATTATATATCATATATTATATATCATATGTCATATATCATATATATCGTCCTCCAGCGGGAACAGAGGCTGGAATCTGAACCTGTCGCCCCAAAGTCTGACCTTGTTGGCGGGCCGCGGTGACGCACCACAGCCGGGGACCGGTCCTCTCGGCCGGTCAGTCAGGCTCCGCAAAGCTGAGGGCGGGCAGAGACACCGGTTATCAGAGTGTTAATAATGTCGTCTGTTATTATTAATTATTATTATAATATTATAGGGACGTCACGAAGTGTCTTTAGTCACAACTCGAGTTCCACTGTTGATGAGCTCCATGACAACCGCTGATGATAACTAATCATAGTCTCTGTGTCTCTCTATGATTCTGTCTCTGTCTCTCTCTCGCTCTCTCTGTCTGTCTGTCTCTGTGTGTGTGAGTGTAGACGGACTGCTCTCCATCATCGCTGCATGATGAACGGCAGCAGCGTCTCGGCGGCTCAGAGCTCCAGGATAAAAAATGAACCAGGTAACCTTTGACCTGCTGTGACGTTATCAACACCTGAGGTCACAGCTGACGTGTGTGTGTGTGTGTGTGTGTGTGTGTGTGTGTGCGCGCGCGCAGATGACTGGACGAAAGAGGACTGTCTGACTCTGCTGGAGAAGATCCGCTCTCAGGTGCCGGACACAGACAGCATGAAGTATAAAACCACCGAGTCGCACTTTGACTGGGACAAAGTTAGTTTCGGCAGCTTCACCGGAGAAATGTGCCGCCAGAAATGGCAGAAAGTTTCCTCCGAGGTAAGAACGTTAAGTTTACTCCGAGGTAAGAACGTTAAGTTTACTCCGAGGTAAGAACGTTAAGTTTACTCCGAGGTTAGAACTTTAAGTTTCCTCCGAGGTAAGAACGTCAAGTTTCCTCCGAGGTAAGAAC